AGAAAACCGGCTCAAAATCGGCGAAAAACCACTTTTGTAACCAAAAGCGATACAGATTCTGAAAGTCGACACTTCAGCCTATCTTTCTATATGCGTATCTCAAAATCGATTTTTTGACCGAAAATCACCATTTCTGAGGGGGAGGCTCTCAAAACTAATTAATACAATGCACCATTAGCTGTTGAACAATAAATGTCAAGTATAAGAACATATGATATACATAGATGTGTATATGCTGTTGCGCCATTCATAAGCCTTCTATTTCCAATTGTAAATGGTGGTGCAGAATAGAATGACCACCTTCGTTTTTTGCTTTTGCGACAATTCATTCTCATTCATAGAGTTAGCTCTATACTCATTCGATAGACAGTTTTTGTGCTCTATGAAAATGTCGACTTCACTTTTCAAAAACCGTTTCTCTTGATAGGACAAAACTTAAACAAATATGATATGGTTAACCTTGCATCTGTGATCTTCAATTTTTTGCATATATTGATATAAATATATTTATATATATATATATCGATTTGTATCTACTTTTATTTGTCAAGTCTGCTAGTAGCAATCAAGTATTTTACACAGACAGTTAGAAAACCATCTTTATCCAACGTCTGGAACGCATCAACTGTCCAGATATGTTCAGTCTCTGGAGCTCTACCCAACTATGTCCTGGGAAATCATCCAGCTAGCTTGTGAACGCAGAGAGTACAGTTTTAAAAAAGGTTAAAATTTTTAAAGTTTAAATAAAAATTTCAGATTATGAGCTGGAGAGTCCGATTTTTTTCAAAACGTAGCTCATTCAATTCTGAGTAAAATTGCTAATTTGAAATATTTTCACAGACAAGTGTTTCTTTAAAAAGAATTATTTCCGTAACGGAGAAAATCGTCAATTATGGCAGAGCTGTCAGATTATCATTATACAGTATAACTATCAACCGTACGAGAAACCTCAGAATTTCAGAATTTCAAACTCATTCTTATACTGTGTGGGATAGTCACTCTTATAGAAAATGTTGGAATTTCAGAATTTCAAACTCACCCTTATACAGAGTGCGGTAGTCACTCTTATAGAAAATGTTAGAATTTCAGAATTTCAAACTCATCCTTATACAGTGTGCGCTAGTCACTCTTATAGAAAATGTTAGAATTTCAGAATTTCAGAATTTCAAACTCACCCTTATACAGAGTGCGATAGTCACTCTTATAGAAAATGTTGGAATTTCAGAATTTCAGAATTTCAAACTCATCCTTATACAGTGTGCGATAGTCACTCTTATAGAAAATGTTAGAATTTCAGAATTTCAGAATTTCAAACTCATCCTTATACAGAGTGCGATAGTCACTCTTATAGAAAATGTTAGAATTTCAGAATTTCAGAATTTCAAACTCATCCTGATACAGTGTGCGCTAGTCACTCTTATAGAAAATGTTAGAATTTCAGAATTTCAGAATTTCAAACTCATTCTTATACAGTGTGCGATAGTCACTCTTATAGAAAATGTTGGAATTTCAGAATTTCAGAATTTCAAACTCATCCTTATACAGTGTGCGCTAGTCACTCTTATAGAAAATGTTAGAATTTCAGAATTTCAAACTTATCCTTATACATTGTGCGATAGCCACATAGCATTATCATCGGGTTATCCGGATAGCGTGTGCGATAGTCATTCTTATACGAAATGGTGTTGGAAAAGCAAATGTCTCCACGATTTTATTCTAACTAATTCTGACTAACTGCTCGAAACTAAGACCCAAAGAGTTATAGATGATGCACCGAAGGAGGAGGCAGCTTGGGGGGTGAGGGTGAGGGTGAGGGTGAGTGGTTTTCCCGTGCTTATTACGCAGAAGTGCTCAGCAGGTACCGGGCGTTTGCGCAGGTTTTGCAGAACCGCAAACTACGTCACTGTTTTTCTTGCGGGCCCAGCATACCTCCTTACACCTTAAGTTCAAGTACTGAACCTTTTGAAATTCAGACATTTCGTATAAGAGTGACTATCCCACACAGTATAAGGGTGACTTTGAAATTCTGAAATTCTGAAATTCTAACATTTTCTATAAGAGTGACTAGGGCACTCTGTATAAGGATGAGTTTGAAATTCTGAAATTCTAACATTTTCTATAAGAGTGACTAGGGCACTCTGTATAAGGATGAGTTTGAAATTCTGAAATTCTAACATTTTCTATAAGAGTGACTATCGCACACTGTATAAGGATGAGTTTGAAATTCTGAAATTCTAACATTTTCTATAAGATTGACTATCGCACACTGTATAAGGATGAGTTTGAAATTCTGAAATTCTGAAATTCTAACATTTTCTATAAGAGTGACTACCGCACACAGTATAAGGATGAGTTTGAAATTCTGAAATTCTGAAATTCTAACACTTTCTTGGTTATACCGTATAAGGATAATTTGACAGCCCTCAACGAGCTATACTTTTGTAGTTCGAATAAAGACCGCTTGAATGGTGCAAGAATGAACATTCTATCTTTTACCAAAAAAAACAGATAGCTTTTTCCGATGAGGTCTTCGCTTTGGAGATATCCTTGAAGATGAATTTTTTGTGCAATGACATTATATATGGGAAGCATAAAAAGCACATTTTCTAATTCGATTTTCAACACTGAATCGAATCGAATTAATTCCCTTTTTAAGCTGAGTTGCCCAGCTCTGGTTTGATTAATTCAAAGTTTATGTTAGTACTGATATTATTTACGGAATGGCTATTGCCACTTTCTGAGAGTGTCAACAAGAGTCGTCGTATTTTTAGTTTTGGGTGTAAGTTCTGGCGGGCTTTATGAATTTCTTAACATTAGAGTTCGCGCGTGGAGTCCGTCCGCACAGAAGTAAGGTTTTAACTATCTGCTATCAATAGATGTTTCATATATTCATTCTCTAAAGTTCTAGTTGCTGGACGCTATTCTTAATCATCTAAACTTGTTTAACTATGAACCGCAGGAGAATTATTTGTTCCGCACACAAAGAACAGCTTCACACAGTTTGTTTATTTTCTTTCGTCGCTGAAACTTTTTGTGTTTAGAGTGTTTTTAACTGAAAAACCCAAATGTTTTAGATTCTCTTTAATGAAGATAGCACCTTATTTTTCCGCTTTCATTTTAAATTGGTCCTCATTTAAATTGATTGACAAAAGCTACGCAACGTCTGACTGGGCAAGGTCTCTTTTTATTTTGATTTCATTCTAGTAAAAACAACCGCAGCTGGTTTTCTTAAAGCAAATTAAACTTTATTTTCACATTAGAATGGTAGTTTTGATCTTTTTCTTTTTCTTTTTATTTGTTTTTGATCAATAGTTGTGACTATTCTAGTCAAAAAATAAAAACTTGCGTATGCTCTATACTTCTTGCAGAAATCATAATTGTGTAGAATATCTTTAAGCCACATATGAAAAACGAAGCCATACATAGATGAATATAACTTACTTTTGCAAAAACTTATTATCAACAATTTTCTATACCTTCTAAAGACCGCTTGTGTAAATTTCTACACACACCAACATATTACACTTTTTCAGCGATAGTCTCACAATCAGTTGTGCCTTAGGGAAAACATTCTTAGAACTTCAACGCAAAGAAATTCATAAAGCGTACCGGAACTTACACTCATAAGGTAAAATACGACAACCCCTTTTAACACTCTCAGAGAGTGGCAATAGCGCTACCCTATTGTCTATTCTTGAGTAGTTAGATCACTTTCAAATGGACTTCTTCTACTATCAAGACTTTGTGGTTTTCTCTTCTGATCATGGTAGGTGCGAATTACATCTTCTATTCTCAAAAAAATAGGCAAACCGGAGAAGTGTAGACCATCGCTTTTATATAGCAGCAGTTACGTTTATTTTTAATAATCGAACACCTGCTCTTAACCAGTTCCCCAGTGACACTTTGTATCGCATTTTTTCTGATACTAATAATTGTATGATAATTTTGAACGAAGCTCATTGGATAGAGAATCCAATACTCTACCAAACCAAGCATTTGGCTTTTGCACAGTATGTTTTTCTGTTGTGCAGAATATACAATATGAAACGCTGTAGTTTTCTCAATGGTGTACGTACTTCTTATTCTTCTCCAACAGGTTTAAGATCGTGAAACGGAACGAACAAAGCAAAAGAACGGGGACGATTATTTGATGGAATCGGTCCCTGCTTGAATTCCATCGAAACACACATGGTTAGATGCAGAATGAACAGGAGAACATTTCTAGCCACTAGGCAGACCTTGGAGTTGCTCTAAGAAACAATTAGGTCGAATTTACTGTAACAAAAGTCTGCTCTTCTTTGTTCAACGGTGACGATCCTGTGGTCCACACTTGTTCACTAACCACGACGATACATATACCATTCTATAGAGAATTTCTCGCACTACAATTTCATATATATAAAGTAGTGAAAAAAGTGTCCTAGAGCACCTTGACATTAGAAATACTTTATGCAGCGCAGAGATTTCAGCATGTTTTACCCGGTTTTCTCTTCGGGAACATGATGCAATCAGAATGAGTCATAGACCTGAGACTCGCTTGAAGGTTGAGATTAAAATTGGTATATGGCTCGACATATAGCTATTATTTCATCTCAAAATTTAGTCGGCGCTATAATTTCGTATATATAACAAGCGTTTTAATTAAAGAAAAGACAACGTAAAATGTTTTGGACCCAACTGAACGCAAAATGTGCTGTATAAATTAGAACGAAAGGAAAGTCTTTTTCTTTCGAAATGGTCGACAAGTTGGAGTGTATAGTAGTAATAAGTTTCAAAGTATGCAAGCAGTTATCTCGAAAATGTCTACTGTTTGCCCCTGTGGTAAATCTTTCCGTCGCGCTACTGCCGTTCGTCCTCTGCGCTCTCTACCAATGTGTCTGCTTATTTCGATTCGAATGTTGAAAACGCTTGAACGGAGTTCTCGGATTTGTAACCGCTGCCGTATTTCATATTATGTCTGGAAACGTAATAATCCTGAGTTCGATCAAATTATAAAATAAATGTGTGAAGGACTAAATGCAGTTGAAGCTCATAATGATGAACAAGTACGTCTTGATGGTTATTTTTCTTCAAGCAGTTTTGGGGTTCTGTTTGTTTTTTTCTGTTTAGACAGAAATAATGGAACTAGATAACGATTCTTCGAATGGATCAACCGAGTTTGAAATGAGTACATCTGTTCAGCCCTATCATCAACAGTCCGTTCAAACCAATAATGTTTGTGAAATCCCAGTGAACTGTACTATATCTTCGCATCAGTAAGAGACCTATTATTTTCATGCGAGATTTCCTAAAAGCTGATAACCTTCTATTTCTAAGACTATCCATTTGATTGTTATACTACGTTTATTATAATTATTATACGACTATACTCGTTTTTCAAAATGTCTTTGTACCAAGCGGTACACGTTGTTGTCCGCAGCATATGATAAATCATCGTTTAACACGTGAAGCTATTGATAGACTTCGTCCTCATTCTGTCTAGAGGATTAACTTATCCTGCAGTGATATTATCGGATTGTTCGCAAATGCCACAATAATGATGAATAATGAAAAACGATTTAATTTTGACGACATAGTGAACTTAACGAATGAAGATCATTACAATTTGACTGGCTTAAGTAGAGAATAATTTGATCATTTGATGACCATGTTATCAACATTGAATTTACGCAATTCCTCGTATCTTTCACGTACTGCTGTGGCTTGCCTTCTTGCCAAAATGCGGCTAGGTATCTCAAACCGAGTTTTAGCGTCGGTTTTCCAGCTACCAAGTAAACGATCGGTGTCATCAGCGATTGCCAGCGCTCGAAGTGAGTTAGTCATCAACTTCGTACCCTATTATTTGGGTTTAGGGCATATAAGTCGCGACAATGTTGTAGAACATCATACAACTGCATTCGCACGTCAATTAATGGCTAATGGTGATCCTGACACCGCAAATTTGGTGGCAGATGAAACATATATTTACATTCAAGTAAGGTAATCTACTCATGAATTCTTGTTCTTCGATATAAGCTAGCACGATATCTGATCCTGATCCTGCGCAATTTTGAGAACAATCTGAATAGTTCACTATTGACTATTATTTTTCTTTACGTATTATTAGAAGTCACGAAACAATGAATATCAACGAAGAATATTCAATCTGCATAAACATCGAAGCTTATTAAAACCAATGATGATTGTTACAACTTCAGGCTACATTGTTTCTTGTATTGGACCATATTTATCGGATTTTAGTAATAATGATGCATCTATGATGAAAGATATTTTAATGAACAATACCGAAAAAATATTAGACTGGATTTTCGAAGTAAAAGGAAATGATTTATTTAAAGATATGTATCATTGATGTTTTCTGCCATTTACATTTTACATAGGATGATATGTTCGTGGTAGACCGTGGTTCCCGAGATTGTGTTGGTGTAATGCATGCATTGGGATTACATGTTGCTATGCCTCCATTTCTAAGAAAGCAGAAGCAGTTCACAACTATCGAAGCCAATAAATCGCGTTTAATTACCAAAATCAGATCGGTCGTAGAAATGGTTAATGCCCAGTTAAAACAATTCAAATTATTTTCACAAACATTTCAGAGCTCGTCAATTAAAGATCTAAAGAATTATCTTTCTATAGCTTGTGCATTAATTAATTGTCACAAATCGGAAGTATTAAAATCAAAACCTGAGGATATTGAGTCATCAAAAGAAATGCTTGAATTAGTAAACAAGCCAAATCTTGTTCAACTGGTAATGCTAAGCAATATGCTACCTGAGAAGTGAGATGTGCAACGAACACTTTGAAAAATAAGCTTCCTTCGCCACAGATAACAGACTATAAAAATATCTTTCAGCGGATTCTAATATAAAGTTTGGTCCTTTTCAGCTGCTTAACGAGAGTAATTTATTATTCTCAAACTGGACAACTCTCAATGCAACTGAATTTCTTGAATTTCTAATTTTGGCCGAAAATCAAACACGAAAGCTGACGTTCGGTAAATAATAATCACATTTCCCCTTTCGTCTAACTAAGCGTTTAATCAATCATTCGTATAGGAATATTCCAACTCAAACGTGCTCGCAGCTATGCCAAGGAATATGCTTCATCAACAGATCTCACTAATCTGTCAATTAAGTATGCCATACAAGTATGCAAAACGAAACCCGATCTGTGTCGTGTTATACCAAAATCTGCGCATTCCAAACGAAAAACATACTATCCAACTATTCGGTTTACTAAATCAAAAGTTGTTGGTTGGTACTGTCAGTGAACGTTACTCATGACTACAAATTCGTGCTTCACTCCTGATTTACTTTAACATTTTCTCTCTAGGTCCAATCGGTAGTAGAGTTGTTGGTTGTTGTTCACATGATGCATCAGCTATATGGTTTCTTGGATTCAAAGGATGGCAATCTCACCAACGAGTACAACCATCTGGCTCACATTTGTTACATGCGTCTGATAGCATGCAAATAACTGGTTTTGAAGACGATGATGAGGACAATCAGACAAGATATAGACTAGCCTGAACAAGTAGGCATGTGATCAATTATAGTAAACTCTACGCCTACTTTTTCTTACATTTGTTTAGGTCACGTTAGTTTTCTCGAACTTCTTCTAGTATCAATTAAATATCCTTTTGTTTTGTGCAGAAATAAAAAATCAATACTTCATCGTTCAATAAATACTTTAATACGTGCGGAAAGACAGCAACAGTTCAGTATCATCCACTGGATAACAGTGTGTGTTATACTACGCTCAAAGAACAATTCTTACAAAAGAAATCCTAATAATAAAAAACACTCCTACCCTCAGTCTTAATCTTCTTTTGTTAAACGTATCTCACACATCGTGCAGTCATAAACTATATTTCTACAACAAAAATATTTATAGAAGGGGAATAACGTGTTCTTTTGTTCTAAAGCGCTTTTGTTTCTCTCTCTCTTTGTCATTTGATTTCGTTTCTACCTAAACAAACTTCTTTTTCCTATGCGTGTGCCTGAACTTTCATATATTATTGCCTGCCTCATTTTTCGTATCAGATTCTTTATTCGCGACCACAACATATCGATCGTGCTTCTCTCTCTTTCAATGATAGAAGTAAAAGGAAAAACATTCAAATGTTTTCTCTTTCAAATAAACAGCTCATAACAATATCTCTCATTTCAAGGTGCCCTATTACACTTTTTTCACTACTTTATATATATGAAATTGTAGTGCGAGAAATTCTCTATAGAATGGTATATGTATCGTCGTGGTTAGTGAACAAGTGTGGACCACAGGATCGTCACCGTTGAACAAAGAAGAGCAGACTTTTGTTACAGTAAATTCGACCTAATTGTTTCTTAGAGCAACTCCAAGGTCTGTCTAGTGGCTAGAAATGTTCTCCTGTTCATTCTGCATCTAACCATGTGTGTTTCGATGGAATTCAAGCAGGGACCGATTCCATCAAATAATCGCCCCCGTCCTTTGCATATCGGAAGAGACTTAGAGAATACGAAAATATTTCTATTATTGCTTTTCCGAAGCTCCCCTAGAAAACGCTTTTTAAAGGAGGGGGCCCGTTTTTCCACTGCTTTTCGACTTAGTTCTGATCACATTTTGCGGAGAAAACGATTTTACACATTTTGAAGTACATATGCACCATTATAACGCTATGGAGACTTTTTAAATTAATTTTTCTCAGGAGGTACATAAAACATATGGGTGCTTAACATAAACGATTTTCTCCAAAGTCTAATATGAAGTTATGAGAAAGCTTGATATGGCTTGATAAATAGCTTCTGGAAAAACTCTACAATATCCTGATTAAACAAACCTCATATATCATTGGCTCAATCCTTTATAGGTCAAATACGAGCCCAATGACACCTACAAGTCAGCACAACTGATGTTTTAACCATTTTACTCCCATAAATAAGAGAGGATCCAACTAGTCTTTAGTATAGAAAAATAGCTCTTGAAAAGCTCTATAACACCTGTTAATAGGACTGGCAGTAGGTTTTATGAATTTAATACTAGAGTTTTTCATAGATCGTGGCTATGCCAAGGGACTCTTGACCACTTTTTCTATAAAACTAAAGAGGATCTCTAATCATTCATGCAACATTCGATGCGCCTTGAAACGCTCTACAACATGTGTTAATAAAAACCTGGCAACGGTTTTTGTGTATTAAATACTTCGCCGCTTAATCCCACAGTGAGTCCAAAAATTGTTCCCACCTTTATTTTTCATTTTTCAGCTGAAAGAATTTCTAATCTTAGGCGGTGTACGGTATATGTATGGCACCGCATGGAGAATACACGAGAATACACCAGAATACGCAAATATATAAATTTCTGTAAAATGTGCTGGGTTTGCTGAACTTACTTTTTAAGAATACACTACGTACTGGTATTCTGGCATCTCTGCAAAGAATATCAATATGTGTGAAATTCCTGTAGTTACCGTTCTCTCATCTACCTTGTCCTAGTATGGAACTAATTTTCCTAATTAGTAATTACATTAATGAGTTCAGAAAAGTTCTCAAATCTTTTCAAGATCTTGATACAGAATTTGAAGATATGTCAGACTCGGATCCGTAGTAATATATATACAGTGTGGACACCTATCCCGATCAGGATATCAAGAATTTTAATTTTTAATTTGTAAGAAAATGATAAATTTTAATTATATGAGAGCTGAATATTCTTCTCCTTCTTCTTTATTCCCCCTCTCTAATGTTCCTAGTAGTGT